CGCCCGTCCGCCTATGTTAAGCCAAAAAGTACCCGGCGATTACACTTAAAAATCTGGGGGCGGGCTTAAAAAAGGTTATTTTAAATGAGGGTCCTTTTACGCAGGAATCCTGACCGCTCGGCCTCTTTTATTTTTTGGAAAAAAAGAGAATATCAGAAGAAAACAGAGGGGGGGGGGGGGGGGGGGGGGGGCTGCAGCCCCCCTCGCACCCCGGCCCGTACGCCTATGTTAAGCCAAATAGTACACGGCGATTACACTTAAGAATCTGGTGTCTGGTCTAACGAAGGTTATTTTAAATGAGGCTACTTCTACGCAGGAATCCTGACAGTGCTGCCTCTTTAATTATATGGACAAAAAGGTAATATCGAGAGAAAACTGCTCTTGCTCTTTGTCAGCACAGCATTAAAATTTGGTCCTGTTTTATGACTTTTATCCGACCTAAGTTGATAAATATTTAGGTAGCAAAAACTGTTCCCGTAAACCCTATTCAATGGATTTATTCAATGAAGTAAATAAGGTTTTAAGATAATTATGATCATAGTCGTTATCAACTATATCACATTGAACGATCGGATAATCAGAAAAAAAGAAAAAAAAGCTGTTGTTTTAATCTCTACTATTTGAAAGAAAATACATTAACGAGTCCTGAATCACCTGATTCGCTCTAGAGTAGCGATAGTGCCCAAAAATATTGTAACAAAGTATCTAATTATTGTATAAATAAATGAATAAATAGACAAATGGAGAAATGTAAATCAATAACTAAACAAACAGATAGATAAAAAAAGCATCTGATAAAAAATAAATAAAATGCAACCATAAAGATATACAGTTACAAAGGTCACTGCGCAGCGATTCGAAATATCCAAATAAGACGAAGTCTATTTTTTTCACTTACCTTGCAGAGGTTGAATTATCTATGCTATATTTATAATATCGAGCTGGGCTAACTCCAGCGCCAGGGCTGCCATCTTTATCAGTGAGGGAATATGAAGAGTCATGGTTAGTAGGCTGTGTTTCAGGTGCCGTGCCGCCACCGCTGGAGAATCTTTTCGCTGAAATCAACCGAACATCTCTTGTACCACTTAGTGATGTTCTCTGTACCTAATAAAAGAAATTAAGAGCGCATGCAGCGAGGTGTTAAACTTGAGAGATGTTAAGCATGTTATTACAAAAACGAAAGGTTGCCGGCCTTGTCTTCAGATCATTGCTTACATTAGTCGTTAATCATTAAAATACGTGTGTTATTATCTTCCCTTAGCACTAGCTGTACATGTTTTAATGTAAATTAAGGTGGAACTACAGTCTCTTAAAGGAAGAAAAAATGAAATAGGTGTTAGCGGACGTGGCTTAGACACATTCACCCATAAATTCAAATGTTGTCATCCTTCGACCAGAGACTAATGTCATGTCTACACTATACCGGACAGCTTATTATCAGCTCTTATGAATAATCGTTCACATAGGCACAGAAACCTATCCGATATGTCATAATCATCTTTCAAGATCAGCGCGGCGCGGCTGAGTTCTGTTATGGGAAACGCTCCGAAGGTAACTAAGGTAAGTAATATTTAAACAACCATTAGTACCGTGCGAGTACGTACTCTCATTCTCCATCAACGCAAACTTAGGGACGGACCATTAGAAAAGTTATGGGGGGGGGGGGGGGGGAATTTTCGAGCCGCAGGAATTTTTTTTCTTTAATGTTTCCCGTGAATGAATATTTTTTTTTGTCAAGATGTTTTGCACGAATATTTTTTTTTCCTTGAAGTAACACTAAACTAAAAACATATTAAATCATTCAGTTGTTCGCTTAACCAAGGGCATAATTTAAATATAGGCTACCTGGGCACGTATACGAAAGTAAATTGATACATATTCTAAGGTACAGTTCGCAATAGCCTTTTATACACAAGGTATCCTGTATTGTACGTGCATTGGTACTGCGCAGGTTCATATTGCATTGCTGAAATTTTACAAGTAAACAGCATTATAAATAAGGCATTCTAAAAGAGTGTACAGTTGACTCTCTCTTAACGGACACCTCTATAAGACGGACACCTCTGTAAAACGGACACCTACAGTTGGTCCCTGCCTTTCTTTACTCCTTTTATTTGACTATTTATAAGACGGACATGTCTCTAAGATGGACACTTAGTACCGGCCCCAAAGGTGTCCGTCTTAGAAAGAGTTGACTGTGGCGTTCTTAAAGGATACATAAAATAATTTATGTCCAATTGCCAGTTATTAAAATTTATGATAAGCTTACAAGCCTCAGATATATTTTTTTGTATCAGGTATGATTATTTACAAGACCAAAATTCAGCAGGAAGTTTATTCAAAGGGCCGATGTTTTGCACACAGTATGCTTTCCTGCCTGCCTTCTTAAGATTTGTGCACAATGTGTGGAAGGCCAATGCAGGAATTTTTTTCCTGGTCTACTCTGCATGCATGAATTTTTTTTCACTTAATTTTCCCTTGCATGAATTTTTTTTTTGTACTTCGCCCGCCCCCCCCATAACTTTTCTAATGGTCCGTCCCTTAAGACTGCTTGCAGTCTATACCCAAGATAACTTGCTGACAATAGGCAAGTTTCTGATTTTTCACCCCACTTTTTTTTTCTTGGCTTCGCAATCTTAAACTATCCAGGAGAGAATGGAAAATAGTCCCGGAACTGCATTAAGCAACGACGACGGTGACGGCAACAAAAACGTCACTAAAGCCAGAGGTTTAGGACCCGTCCACACTAATACGTGTTCGTTTCAAAACGCATACATTTCGAAAAACACTTATACTACGCGCGTTCTAAATCGAGAAAAGCATCGCTTGGAAAGAAAGCAAACACGTTTATGAACAATAGGGAGCTTAAGCAACGACGACGATGACAGTAACGGCAACGAGAACGGCAAAAAAGAAATACTAATAGGCTTAGATTGGCAAAAAAACGACTTTCCACGTGCATTATGCTTTTTTGTACATTTCTTTGCCATCACTGCAAGACTGCGACGTGAAAATGCGGTCTAAGTTCACGTTTTGCGGAAAACGTGAACAGACAAGAAACGACTCTCTTTTTCTTTTCCTGAACTTCGATAAAGTCTTTTAGAATTAAACCCCGGAACAAATTTGCCAACATTTGACGAAATGAAGGAGTAAGGTTGGATAAGTGCCATAAAGTTTGAAGCCAATCGAATTCTTTTTTAATGAAGTGGCGTTTTCGTAACTAATGCCGTCTTTGTTGATTAAGCTCACTATTGCTAAGTTAGGACGTCTGACCCAAGATTCCAATAAAAAGTAAAGGGAAGTAACAACATGACTAAAGCGCCAAAAAACTTTAGTATACAAAAGGATCACGCATTATCATAACCACACCAAACACTTACAGGCCTGCGCTCTTTGTTAGTTGTCATTGCCTCTTCCACTGTGTGAACAGTGATTTTAGCCTTTTGCTTATTTTCATCTTCCCTCGGAAATAGTGTCTGCTGACTTCCTTGTATGTTGTTGCTGGGTGTAGGTGCATCTTTAAATGACTCTTCTCTGTATTTGAAATCCATTTCAACTCCTTGTTCATCTAGAATGTCTTTATGTCTACCATCTGTTGTTTTCATGACGGTTTGAAGATTTTCGGCTGAAGATTGTAGGGTCTGTTGATTAAAAAGTGGAAGTTATTAAATATATGTGGCTAAATTGACACAGTTTGTGCTATATTATTACGCTTCCTTCAAACATCTCAGGTTAAACAGTAGTACCAAAACATTCTGGAAAGGAAGACCTGCTTTTTATTCCAGTCACAAGCAGAGGCACATGTTTCTGTGAATTATTTTTCCTATGCTGAATTAAATATCAAAGGTACCGAACTTGGTTAACGAAGTTAACAAAGGAACTCAGTTGGCCTGTTCTACCACTAAGTTCATTCGGTAGGCCTTAGTATGTTACTCGAATCTGGTCTATATAGAAGCTGATAAGAAATTCAGAATATTTCCTCCTCATTAGTAGTGGAACTAACTTGTGCTCCTAAATTTGTGATGATTCTTCTAGTCTGAGTCACAGTGTATCTGCCACTCTCTTCTCGTGAAGACGAATTTAACTTAAGAAAGCCCTCTTTAGGGTCCTGGAGGAAAAATTAGAATACGCCTTCAGAGACAGACGAAATATGGCAGGCGTGTGATTGTAGGATGCGCACATTGTTCAAGTTAGTTCTCAAAGTGCAACTCTGTCGTTTTCGAACTTCTTAATATGGCCAGTCGAAAACGCATCAAAACAGTAGTGTGGACGCAAATCAATCGACGCGTTGTCGATGACAACAAAAAGGCGTATTTTTGAAAACGCATTAGTGTGGACAGGGCCTTAGATTAGCAAAACAACAACTTAGCACGTACATCACGGTTTTTTGTACATTGCAACAACATCGACGTGACTAAGTGCCTAAACTCCGGGGTTTTGTAAAGGACGTGAGCCAGAAAGTATTTGTCTAGTCAACCTTCTTTACAAAGCAAACTCTTTTGTAAACAATTGGGAGCTTGAGCAACGACGACGACGACGACAGTAACGGAAACGAGAACGAGAAAAGAGCAATACTACTAGCTTTAGATTGCCAAAAAACAACTTTGCACTTGATCACGTTTTTTTGTACATTTCTTTGCCGTCACTGCAATACCGCGAAATGAAAATGCGGCCTAAGTTCACGTTTTTTGCCAAAACGTCAACACAAGACAACGACTTTGTATTTCTTTTCCTGAACTGCGATACATTCTTTTCGAATTAAACCCCAGAGCAATTTGCCAACATATGAAAAAATGATAGAGTTCGGTTGGAATAAGTGCAATAAAGTTTGAAGCAATTCGAATTCAATTTTTATAAAGCGACGTTTTCGTAACCACCGCCGTCTTTGTTGCTTAAGCTCGCTATTGCTAAGTTAAAACGTCTGATCCAATATATTAGTCAAGAGTAAAGGGAAGTAACAACATGACTAAAGCGTCAAAAATGTCTAGTACATAAAAGGATCATGCATTATCATAACCACATGACCAAACACTTACGGGCGTGCGCTCTTTGTTGGTTGTTATTGCCTCCTCTATTGTGTGAACACTGATTTTAGCCTTTTGCTTATTTTCATCTTCCCTCAGAAATAGTGTCTGCTGACTTTCTTTTATGTTGTTGCTTGATATAGGTGTATCTTTCAATGTCTCTTCTCTGTACTTGGCATCCCTTTCGTCTCTTTGTTTATCTAGAATGTCTTTATGTCTACCATCTGTTGTTTTCATGACGGTATCGGAATTTTCAGCTGAAGATTGTAGGGTCTGTTGATCATAAAATGTAAGATATTGAATGTAGGAACTTTGCAGCTTAATTGATACCGTGTATGCTATATTGTTAGGCTTCTTTCAAACATCTCAGTTAAACTAAGGTCTCAAAGCATTGAAAGGCCTGCTTTTTATTCCAGTCCGAGCTGATGCAAATATTACTGTGAATTATTTTTACAATGCTGAATTAAGTATCGAAAGGATCGAACTTGGTTAACGAAGTTAGCAAAGGAATTTAGTTGGCCTGTTCTACGTCAGACTTGATTCTTTAGGCCTTAGTATGTTACTCTGAATAGTTTAATTTTCGGTGTTGAAATGATCATCGAGAAATGAATGTTTTGAAGACAAAAAAACGGTTAAGACTGATAGTCCTGAATAAAGCGGCTAAAACAGTCTTGAAAAAGGTTGGATACAAAAGAGACAACTCGACAAGATAGGTCTCACAATAGTTAGCAAGCCATGTCATCAGTGGATCTTCAAGCTGTATCCTACTCCATGCTGCAACGGCTACAGAATGTGATAAAATAACGAAGGGGGAATGCCCTTTACTGAAATTCTAAATACATGCAGTCCATAGAGCAATAAACACCTTCTAAAATTTCATGCAAGAATACAGTTTGGATCAAAAGCTATAAGTAATGGTAACAGGACTGGGTGGAGTCCAATTCGGCCTGTAATCATACGAGTGATTAACAAAATTGGACGACCGCGTAGCGGGAGTCCGATTTGTTTAATCACGAATATGATTACAGACCGAATTGGACGACACGAAGTTCTGTTACCAGTTAATCATAACTTCAACAAAATTTGTGATATATGAGGCTCCTTTTTTAATCAAAACGCAAGAAATTCCGAGATTTTTTTTGCTAGCAGTGACAAAAAAAAAAGCCAGTTAAGCGCGCGCGTGATGGCGCGTACTGTCCAATTACTTAGGTATGACGCGTACTGTCCTATTTAACTGTCCTATTAAGGCTGAAATCAGGGCAGTTGATAGCCAATCAGATTTAAGAATTTTGTTATAGTTATGATTAGTAATGGTAACAGGACTGAGTGGAGTCCAATTCGGTCTGTAATCATACGAGTGATTAACAAAATCGGACGACCGCGTAGCGGGAGAGGCTAAACAAATTAGTGCTCAATGATTACAGACCGAATTGGACTCCACTCAGTCCTGTTACCAATTAATCATAACTTTAACAAAATTTGTGATATATAGGGCTCTTTTTAAATCAAAACACAAGAAATTCCAAGATTTTTTCGCTAGCTATAAAAAAAAAAGCCATTTAAGCGCGCCCGTGATGGCGCGTACTGTCCAATTACTTAGGCATGACGCGTACTGTCCTATTAAACTGTCCTATTAAGGCTGAAATCAGGGCAGTTGAGAGCCAATCAGATTTGAGAATTTTGTTATAGTTATGATTACGCATGAAATTAGAAGAGCCAACTTTTGGGACAACCTGTATATAAAAGGATCAAGCATTTTCATAACCACACCAAACACTTACGGGCGTGCGCTCTTGGTTAGTTGTCATTGCCTCTTCTGTTGTGTGAACAGTGATTTTAGCCTTCTGCTTATTTTCATTCTCCCTCGGAAATAGTGTCTGCTGACTTTCTTTTATGTTGTTGCTTGATATAGGTGCATCTTTCAATGTCTCTTCTCTGTATTTGAAATCCCGTTCAACACCTTGTTTATCTAGAATGTCTTTATCTCTACCATCTGTTGTTTTCATGACGGTTTGGAGATTTTCAGCTGAAGATTGTAGGGTCTGTTCATTAAAAAAGTTTAAGTTATTAAATGTATGTGGCTAAATTGACACAGTTTATGCTATATTATAACGCTTCCTTTAAGCATCTCTGGTTAAACAATAGTACTAAATCATTCTGGAAAGAAAGACCTGCTTTTTATTCCAGTCACATGAAGAGGTGCATGTTTCTGTGAATTCTTTTCCCAATGCTGAATTAAATGTCAAAGGGATCAAACTTGGTAAACGAAATTAACAAAGGAATTTAGTTGGCCTGTTTTAAGCCTAACTTAATTCGTTAGGCCTTAGTATGTTACTCTGAATAATTTAATGTGTTATTAGTTTTATTTCTTCATAAGTTCGTTAATAGAGCCCCACACTGGTATAGGTAGAGGCTAAAAAAAAAGTGAGATGTTTCCCTTCATTAGTAGTGGAACTTACTTGTCCTCCCGAATTTGCGATGATTATTCTGGCCTCAGTCACCGTGTATCTGCCACTGTCTTCTCCTAAAGACGATTTTAACTTAAGAAAGTCTTCTTTAGGGTCCTGGAGGTAAAATTAGAATACGCTTTTAGAGACAGACGAAATATCGCAGGCGCGTGATTGTAAGATGCGCAGATGGTTCAACTTACTTCTCAACGTGCAACTCTATCGTTTTCGAACTTCTTAATAGGGACTTTAAGATTAAACGACGCGACGGCAACGAGAACGACGCTTAAAAAGTGAATTTGCGTTCTTTCAGTCTTTAACGGAATTATTCCTACCCACTTATTCTGTCAAATGTAGTCAAACCCCCCTGGAATTGAAATTCTTAGAGACCTTATCCAAGTTCAAAATGAGAAAAAAAGTTTCGTCGTTGCTTGTTTGTTTTTTTTTTTTTCTCTATAAAACGCAAAATTAGGCATTTTAACGTGGTAGTCGTGCAAAAACGGGAAAGAAATGTACAAAAAAGCGTGATGCACGTGCAAAGTTGTTGTCATTGCTTATTGAGCCTTTTGATTTGTTTACGTTTTCGTTGCCGTCCGAGTCGTTGGATCTTAAAGTCCCTAATATGGACAGTCGAAAGCGCATCAAAACGGTAATGTGGACGCAAATCAATCGCTGTGGTGTTGTTGACAACGAGACGCATACTGTTTTGAAAACGGAGTAGTGTGGACAGGGCCTTAGATTAACAAAACAAGAAGTTTGCACGTGCCATTTCGGTGAAATCTACTCCTATGCCTCAGCGACCATGAGACATTTACATATTAGGTCCACTTCCGTCAGGGGAGAATCTGTCAGGCCTGGTGGATTATCACAGCAGGTGGATAGAGGTTGACGTTGTCAGGGCAACCACGAGCAAAATAATTATTAAGCGTCTAATTGCTCCGTTTGCGAGATATGGAATACCCAAGGATTTGTGGATTGTCAATAGCCCAAATTTAGTTAATGATTATCTCAAAGAAATAAGAGTTGAGCACCGACATAAAACCTCTCCGTGGCCAAGGGCCAATGGTGAGGTGGAAAGGCAGAATAGCACACCATTTAAAGCTATCAGAGCAGCCCACGCGGAGGGGAAAAATTGGAGAGAAGAATTAAACAAGTTTCTGTTGCCAAACAGGTCCACACCCTACTCGACAACGGGGAAGAGTCCGGCAGAGTTGCTCTTTAGAAGAGTGCTAAACAGTACATGATGATGCTTTAGCTGATGGGTTTAGATGATGAGGAAGCAGACACAACTGACCAAGAAGCCAGAGACCGTGACACCCAAAAGAAGCAAGCAAACAAGGACTATGTTGAGAAAAGGTTCCATGCAAGAGAGCGAGACGTGCGAGAGGGAGACTGGGTTCTGTTGGAGCAGAAGAGACAAAACAAGTTATCGTCATCGTATGAGAAGGAGCCATATGAGGTGATGACTCGGTTCGGGGATCAAGTTGTGTTGAGGTTGTCGAACGGAGAGGAGTACAGGAGAGATATGCACCATATTAAAGCCTTTAACATTCCAGACCATGAAAGGGCGGCGTCACAGTCAGAGCTCGGATCTGCGTCCGCAGCAGCTGCGTTTGCGTCAGCTACACAGGCTATGGCACCAAAGCCGGTAACACCTATTACAACAGTAGCACCAGCAGAGATTCCAAGGATGTCTTTACCACCAGCAGCAGTGGACATACCCCCTAAGGTCCCATTCTCGGGTGCTGAGCAGCCACCCCCTCCAAGGAGATCTGGAAGGGTTACCAGACGACAAAAAACTTGGAGCTATTATGTTTTGTATTAAATCTACTTTTTTCGAAAGATTCTGTGTTTCCTTTGAACTTAGCTATATTTATATTGCCACTTGGCAAGGACTTGGTTGATTGCATTTTTGTATTCTAAGATTGTTTAAGTTGAAAGTAAGTATATTGTTTGCGTAATTTTTATTGATGTAAGTGTATGTACGAATGAAGAGAGAATGTAGTGTACAGAGGTTGTAGTACATAGCGTACAGCGGTTGTACGCGCAGAACATACGGGAACTGAACAGTGTGAGCGGGCGTAGACTGACTGAGTTGACTTGTTGTCGAGCCGAGCAGATGAACGAATGAAGCGTTCGGTTTTAATTGCCTTTGTGGCTGTTAATACTCTACATCACGGTTCTTTTTACATTGCTACAACAACGACCAGACTAAGCGTCTAATTTCAAGATTTTTTTGAAAGACGTCAACCAGACAACTACTTTCTTTCAAAGAAAGTAGTTGTTTTGTTAACGTCCTTTACAAAGCAAACACGTTTATGAACAATAGGGAGCTTCAGCAACGACGACGACGATAGTAACGGCAACATGAACGGCAAAAAAAGCAATACTAATAGGCTTAGATTGGCAAAAAAAACGACTTTCCACATGCATTACGCTTTTTTGTACATTTCTTTGCCATCACTGCAAGAGTGCGACGTGAAAATGGGGCCTAAGTTCACGTTTTGTGGAGAACGTCAACGCAAGACAAGGACTTTCTTTTTCTTTTCCTGAACTTCGATAAAGTCTTTTAGAATTAAACCCCAGAACAAATTTGCCAACATTTGACGAAATAAAGGAGTTCGGTTGGAATAAGTGCGACAAAGTTTGAAGCAAATCGAATTCACTTTTAATGAAGTGGCGTTTTCGTAACTAATGCAGTCTTTGTTGCTTAAGCTCACTATTGCTAAGTTAGGACGTCTGACCGAAGATACCAGTCAAAAGTAAATGGAAGTAACAACATGACTAAAGCGCCAATAAACTCTAGTATACAAAAGGATCACGCATTATCATAACCACACCAAACACTTACGGGCGTGCGCTCTTTGTTAGTTGCCATTGCCTCTTCTGTTGTGTGAACAGTAATTTTAGCTTCCTGCTTATTCTCATCTTCCCTCAGAAATAGTGTCTGCTGACTTCCTTTTATGTTGTTACTTGGTGTTGGTGCATCTCTCATTGACTCTTCTCTGTATTTGCAATCCGTTTCAACTCCTTGTTTATCTTGAATGTCTTTATCTCTACCATCTGTTGTTTTCATGACGGTTTGAAGATTTTCAGCTGAGGATTGTAGGGTCTGTAATTTAAAAAATTTAAGTATTAAATGTGTGTGGCTAAATTGACACAGTTTATGCTGTATTATTACGCTTCCTTTGAACATCTCAGGTTAAACAATAGTATGAAAACATTCTGGAAAAGAAGACCTGCTTTCTATTCCAGTCACAAGCAGAGGCACATGTTCCTGTGAATTATTTTCACAATCCTGCATAAAATATCAAAGGGATCGAACTTGGTTATCGAAGTTAACAAAGCAATTCAGTTGGCCTGTTCTACGTCTAACTTGATTCGTTAGGCCTTAGTATGGTACTCGAATCTGGTCTATATAGAGGCTAATAAGAAATTCAGAATATTTCCTCCGCATTAGTAGTATAACTAACTTGTCCTCCTGAATTTGTGATGATTCGTCTGATTTGAGTCACTGTGTATCCGCCACTCTCTTCTCCTGAAGCCGAATTTAACTTAAGAAAGCCTTCTCCATGGTCCTGGAAGAAAAATTAGAATACGCCTTCAGAGACAGACGAAATATGGCAGGCGTGTGATTGCAGAATGCGCACATTGTTCAAGTTATTTCTCAAAGTGCAACTCTGTCGTTTTCGAACTTCTTAATATGGCCAGTCGAAAACGCATCAAAACAGTAGTGTGGACGCAAATCAATCGACGCGTTGTCGATGACAACAAAAAGGCATACTTTTGAAAACGCATAAGTGTGGACAGGGCCTTAGATTAGCAAACTACAACTTAGCACGTACATCACGGTTTTTTGTACATTGCAACAACATCGACTTGACTAAGTGCCTAAACTCCGGGGTTTTGTAAAGGACGTGAACAAGAAAGTATTTGTGTTGTTAACCTTCTTTACAAAACAAACTCTTTTGTAAAGAATAGGGAGCTTGAGCAACTACGACGACGACGACAGTAACAGCAAGGAGAACAATTCTTTGCCGTCACTAGCTGCAAGACCGCGAAATAAAAATGCGGCCTAAGTTCATGTTTTTTGCCAAAACGTCAACACAAGACAACGAATTTTTTTTTCCTGAACTTCGATACAGTCTTTTCGAATTAACAACTACTTTCTCTCAAAGAAAGTAGTTGTCTTGTTTACGTCCTTTACAAAGCAAACATGTTAATAAACAATAGGGAGCTGAAGCAACAACGACAACGAGAACGGCGAAAAAGCAATACTAATAGGCTTAGATTGGCAAAAAAACAACTTTGCACGCGCATCACGCTTTTTTGTACATTTCTTTGCTGTCACTGCAAGACTGGGACGTGAAAATGTGGCCTAAGTTCACGTTTTGTGGAGAACGTCAACAAAAGACAAGGACTTTCTTTTTCTTTTCCTGAACTTTGATACAGTCTTTTAGAATTAAACCCCAGAACAAATTTGCCAACATCTGACAAATCAAAAGAGTTCGGTTGGAATAAGTGCGATAGAGTTTAAAGCAAATCGAATTCACTTTTAATGAAGTGACGTTTTCGTAACCACCGCCGACTTTGTTCCTTAAGATCACTATAGCTACGTTAGGACGTCTAACCCAAGATATCAGTCAAAAGTAAATGGAAGTAACAACATGACAAAAGGGCCAAAAAAGTCTAGTATATAAAAAGGATCACGTACTATCACATCCACACCAAACACTTACGGGCGTACGCTCTTTGATAGTTGTCATGGCCTTTCCTATTGTGTGAACAGTGATTTTAGCCTTCTGCTTATTTTCATCTTCCCTCGGAAATAGTGTCTGCTGACTTTCTTTTTTGTTGTCGCTTGATATAAGTGTATCTTCAAATGTCTCTTCTCTGTCCTTGGCATCCGTTTCGATTCCTTGTTTATCTAGAATATCTTTATGTCTTCCGTCTGTTGTTTTCATGACGGTATCGCAATTTTCAGCTGAAGGTTGTATTGTCTGTTGATCATAAAATGTAAGATATTAAACGTAGGAACTGTGCGGTTTAATTGACACAGTGTATGCTATATTGTTACGCTTCTTTCAAACATCTCAGTTAAACTAAGGTCCCAAAACATTGAAAAACCTGCTTTTTATTTAAGCCCGAGCAGATGCTCATGTTTCTGTGAATTCAATACAAGACTACGACGTCAAAATACGGCCTAAGTTTACGCTTTTTAGAGAACGTCAACACAAGACAACGACTTTCTTTTAATTTTCCTGAATTTCGATACAGTCTTTTAGAATTAAACCCTAGAACAAATTTGCCAACATTTGACAAATTGAAAGAGTTCGGTTGGAATAAGTACGATAAAGTTTGAAGCAAATCGAATTCTCTTTTTATAATGTGGCGTTTTCGTAACCACCGCCGTCTTTGTTGCTTAAGCTCGCTATTGCTAAGTTGGGACGTCTAATCCAAGATCAGTGAAAAGTAAAGGGAAGTAATAAGATGACTAAACCGCCAAAAAAGTCTAGTATACAGGGTGCAAAGAAAGTTATTTTTACAGCTTGCGATTTTGGCAAGCCAAGGCTAGATATTCTAGCGCTAACGTCATTTCAACTAGCTTGAAATAACTTTTCATAAGCAGAACTGATTTCACAGTTCTTCTGTAATTTGAATTCCTAAAACAACTTCACTTGCCCGTCGGGCAAGTTAAGAACAAAACTCACTAGCCCGATAGCAAAATCCACTACCCCGGGCTATCGGACACTACTTTCTTGGATCCTGTTATATACTAAAAGGATAATGCATTATCATAACCACACCAAACACTTACAGGCGTGCGCTCTTTGGTAGTTGTCATTGCCTCTTCTATTGTGTGAACAGTGATTTTAGCCTGCTGCTTATTTTCATCTTCCCTCGGAAATAATGCCTCCTGACTTTCTTTTATGCTGTTACTTGATTGAAGTGTATCTTTCAATGTCTCTTTTCTGTCTTTGGCATCCGTTTCAACTCCTTGTTTATCTAGAATGTCGTTATCTCTACCATCTGTTGTTTTCATGACGGTTTGGAGATTTTCAGCTGAAGATTGTAGGGTCTGTTGATTGAAAAATTTAAAAAGTGGTTGAGTTTGATCGTCTGGGTGAACGTAGTCCTGAATCCTACTGTTGTTGTTGTCAGTCACTGATGTTTCGACAACCTGTGCGGCAGTCATCTTCAGAGTCAAAGTGAATTGTATCACGTCAGTTGATGGTATTATACTCTGGTTATATATAGATCTGATTGGTCAATTACGTCGCGATGTTATTTGTCGTCTGTCAGTTAGGCCGTGGTGTTATTGGCTATGAAGACTCTTAATCGGTTTTAAAAAAATTAAGTTATTAAATGTGTGTGGCTAAATTGCCACAGTTTATGCTATATTATAACGCTTCCTTTAAACATCTCTGGTTAAACAATAGTACTAAATCATTCTGGAAAGAAAGACCTGCTTTTTATTCCAGCCACAAGGTACATGTTTCTGTGAATTCTTTTCACAATGCTGAATTAAATGTCAAAGGGATCAAACTTGGTAAACGAAATTAACAAAGGAATTTAGTTGGCCTGTTGTACGTCTAACTTGATTCTTTAGGCCTTAGTATGTTACTCTGAATAATTTAATGTATTATTAGTTTTATTTCTTCTTAAGTTCGTTAATAGAGACCAAAACTGGTATAGGTAGAGGCTAATAAGAAAGTCCGATATTTCCCTTCATTAGTAGTGGAACTTACTTGTCCTCCCGAATTTGCGATGATTATTCTGGTCTCAGTCACCGTGTATCCCCCACTTTCTTCTCCTGAAGACGATTTTAACTTAAGAAAGTCCCCTTGAGGGTCCTGGAGGTAAAATTAGAACACGATTTTAGAGACAGACGAAATCTCGCAGGCGCGTGATTGTAGGATGCTTACATGGTTAACTTACTTCTCAACGTGCAACTCTATCGTTTTCGAACTTCTTAATAGGGACTTTAAGATTCAACGACGCTACGGCAACGAGAACGACGCTTAAAAAGTGAATTTGCGTTCTTTCAAACTTTAACGGAATTATTCCGACCCACTTATTCTGTCAAATGTAGGCAAACCCCCTGGAATTGAATTCTTAGAGACCATATCCAAGTTCAAAATGAGAAAAAAATTTTCGTCGTTGCTTGTTTTTTTTTTCTCTGTAAAACGCGAAATTAGGCATTTTAACGTGGTAGTCGTGCAAAAACGGGTAAGAAATGTACAAAAAAACGTGATGCACGCGCAAAGTTGTTGTGATTGCTTATTAAGCCTTTTGATTTGTTTACGTTTTCGTTGCCGTCCGAGTCGTTGGATCTTAAAGTCCCTAATATGGACAGTCGAAAACGCATCAAAACGGTAGTGTGGACGCAAATCAATCGATGTGTTGTCAATGACAACGAAACGCATACTTTTTTGAAAACGGCGTAGTGTGGACAGGGCCTTAGATTAACAAAACAAGAAGTTTGCACGTGCAATTTCGGCGAAACCTACCCCTATGTCTAAGCGACCATGAGAAGATTTAGCTATGGATATATTGGGTCCACTTCCGTCAGGGGGGAATATGTCAGGCCTGGCGGATTATCACAGCAGGTGGAGAGAGGTTGGCGTTGTCAGGGCAACCACGAGCAAGATAATTATTCAGCGTCTAATTGCTCAGTTTGGGAGATATGGAATACCCAAGAGTTAACGGATTGTCAAAAGCCCAAATTTAGTTGCCAACGAGATTGAGGAATATATCAAAGAAATGGGGGTTGAGCACCCACACCCTACTCGACAACGAGGAAGAGTCCGGCAGAGTTGCTCTTTAGAAGAGTGCTAAACAGTAAAATGCTTTAGCTCATGGGTTTAGATGATGAGGAAGCAGACACAACTGACCAAGGAGCCAGAGACCGTGACACCCAAAAGAAGAAGGCAAACAAGGACTATGTTGACAAAACGTTCAAGGCAAGAGAGGGGGACGTGCGAGAGGGAGACTGGGTTCTGTTGGAGCAGAAGAGACAAAACAAGTTATCGTCGTCATATGAGAAGAAGCCATATGAGGTGATGGCTCGGTACGGGGATCAAGTTGTGTTGATGTCGTCAAACGGAGGGGAGTACAGGAGAAATATGCACCATATTAAAACCTTTTAACATTCCAGACCATGAAAGGGCGGCGTCACAGTCAGAGCTCGGATCTGCGTCTGCAACAGCTGCGTCTGCGTCAGCAACACAAGCTATGGCACCAAAGCCGGGGACACCTATTACAACAACAGCACCAGCAGAGATTCCAAAATTGTCTTTAACACCAGCAGCAGTGGAAATACCCCCTAAGGTCCCATTCTCGGGTGCTGAGCAGCCACCCCCTCTAAGGAGATCTGGAAGGGTTACCCCCTCTAAAGAGATCTGGAAAGGTTACCGGACGACAAAAAAATTTGAGCGATTATGTTTTGTATTAAGTCTAGTTTTTTCGAAAGATTCAGTCTTTCCATTGAACTCAGCTATATTTATATTGCAATTTGGTAAGGACTTGGTTGATTTCATTTTTGTATTCTAAGATTGTTTAAGTTGAAAGTAAATATATTGTCTGCGTAATTTTCATCGATGTAAGTGTATGTACGAATGAAGAGAGAATGTAGTGTACAGAGGTTGTAGTGCATAGCGTACAGTGGTTGTTCGCGCAGGACATACGGGAACTGAACAGTGTGAGCGGGCGTAGAGACTCACATAACTGAACAACAGCTTGTCTCGTCTACTTGCTTATTTCGCAAGCCAAAATAAAGGGAAACAGCGACAATTATGAGATGTAGTGCCAAAAAACATGAAACGTTGGGGTAACTGCACTGATTCACCCTAATTTGCGGGGTTCTGTAAAAGACGTAAACAAGAAAGTATTTGTCTTGTTAACCTCCTTTACAAAGCAAACTTTGTTGTAAACAATACGGAGCTTCAGCAACGACGACGACGACAGTAAGGGCAACGAGAACGGGAAAAAGGCAATACTAATAGGCTTAGATTGGCAAAAAAACGACTTTCCACGTGCATCACGCTTTTCATACATTTTTTTTTTTGCCATCACTGGAAGACTGCGAGGTGAAAATGCGGCCTAAGTTCACGTTTTGCGGAAAACGTGAACGCACAAGAAACGACTGTCTTTTTCCTTTCCTGAACTTGAATCAAGTCTTTTAGAATTAAACCCCAGAACAAATTTGCCAACTTTTGACGAAATGAAGGAGTTTGGTTGGAATAAGGGCGATAAAGTTTAAAGCAAATCGAATTCACTTTTACTGAAGTGGCGTTTTCGTAACTAATGCTCTATTTGTTGCTTAAGCTTACTGTTGCTAAGTTAGGACGTCTAAGCCAAGATACCAGTCAAAAGTAAAGGGAAGTAAGACTAAGGCGCCAAAAAAGTGTAGTACATAAAAGGATCATATATTATCATAATCACACCAAACACTTACGGGCGTGCGCTCTTCGTTGGTTGTTATTGCCTCTTCTATTGTGTGAAAAGTGATTTTAGCCCTCTGCTTATTTTCATCTTCCCTCGGAAATAGTGTCTGCCGACTTTCTTTTATGCTGTTGCTTGACATAAGTGTATCTTTCAATGTCTCTTCTCTGTCTTTGGCATCCTTTTCAACTCCTTGTTTATCTAGGATGTCGTTATCGCTACCATCTGTTGTTTTCATGACGGTTTGGGAATTTTCAGCTGAAGATTGCAGGATCTATTAATTAGAAAGTGTAATGTGCGTTGCTAAATTGACACGGTTAATATTATATTATTAAACCTTCTAAAATTTCATGCAAGAATAAAGTTTTGATGAAAAGCTATAACACACGAAATTAGAGGAACGAAACTTTTGGGAGACCCTGTATATAAAAGGATCACGTGTTTTCATAACCACACCAAATACTTACGGGCGTTAGCTCTTTGTTAGTTGCCATTGCCTCTTCTGCTGTGTAAACAGTGATTTTAGACTTCTCCTTATTTTCATTTTCCCTCAGAAATAGTGTCTTCTGACTTCCTTTTATGTTGTTGCTTCGAGTAGGTGCATCTTTTAATGACTCTTCTCTGTATTTGAGATCCGTTTCAACTCCTTGTTTATCTAGAATGTCTTTATGTCTACCATCTGTTGTTTTCATGACGGTTTGAAGATTTTCAGCTGAAGATTGTAGGGTCTGTTGATTAAAAAATGTAAGTTATTAAATATGTGTCGCTAAATTGACACAGTTTATGCTATATTATAACGCTTCCTTTAAACATCTCTGGTTAAACAATATTATTAAATCATTCTGGAAAGAAAGACCTACTTTTTATTCCAGTCACAAGAAGAGGTGCATGTTTCTGTGAATTCTTTTCACAATGCCGAATTAAATGTCAAAGGGATCAAACTTGATTAACGAAATTAACAAAGGAGTTTAGTTGGCCTGTTCTAACCCTAACTTAATTCGATAGGCCTTAGTATGTTACTCTGAATAATTTAATGTATTATTAGTTTTATTTCTTCATAAGTTCGTTAATAGAGCCCCAAACTGGTGTAGGTAGAGGCTAATAAGAAAGTCAGATATTTTCCTTCATTAGTAGTGGAACTTACTTGTCCTCCCGAATTTGTGATGATTCTCCTGGTCTCAGTCACCGTGTATCTGCCACTGTCTTCTCCTGAAGACGATTTTAACTTAAGAAAGTCCTCTTTAGGGTCCTGGAGGTAAAATTAGAATAGGCTTTTAGAGACAGACGAAATATCGCAGGCGCGTGCTTGTAGGATGCGCACATGGTTAACTTACTTCTCAAGGTGCAACTCTATCGTTTTCGAACTTTTTAATAGGGACTTTAAGATTCAACGACGCAACGGCAACAAGAACGACCCTTAAAAAGTGAATTTGCGTTCTTTTAGTCTTTATCGGAATTATTCCTACCCACTTATTTTGTCAAATGTAGGCAAACCCCCCCTGAAATTGAATTCTTAGAGACCATATCCAAGTTCAAAATGAGAAAAAAATTTCGTCGTTGCTTGTTTTTTTTTTTTCTCTATACAACGCGAAATTAGGTATTTTAACGTGGTAGTCGTGCAAAAACGGGTAAGAAATGTACAAAAAAGCGTGATGCAAGTGCAAAGTTGTTGTCATTGCTTATTGAGCCTTTTGATTTTTTTACGTTTTCGTTCCCGTCCGAGTCTTTGGATCTTAAAGTCCCTTATATGGACAGTCGAAAACGCATCAAAACGGTAGTGTGGACGCAAATCAATCGATGTGTTGTCAATGACAACGAAACGCATAATTTTTTGAAAACGGAGTAGTGTGGACAGGGCCTTAAATTCACAAAACAAGAAGTTTGCACGTGTCATTTCGATGAAAATTACTCCTATGCCTCAGCAACCATGAGAAGATTTATATATAGGGTCCACTTCCGTCAGGGGAGAATCTGTCAGGCCTGATGGATTATCACAGCAGGTGGATAGAGGTTGACGTTGTCAGGGAAACCGCGAGCAAGATAATTATTCAGCGTCTAATTGCTCCGTTTGCAAGATATGGAATACCCAAGGGTTTGTGGATTGTCAATAGCCCAAATTTAGTGGCCAACGAGATTGATGATTATCTCAAAGAAATGGGAGTTGAGCACCGACATACAACCTCTCTGTGGCCAAGGGCCAATGGTGAGGTGGAATGGCAGAACAGGACACCATTGAAAGCTATCAGAGCAGCCCACGCGGAGGGGAAAAATTCGAGGGAAGAATTAAACAAGTTTCTGTTGCCAAACAGGTTCACACCCCACTCGACAACGAGGAAGAGTCCGGCAGAGTTGCTCTTTAGAAGAGTGCTAAACAGTAAAATGCTTTAGCTGATGGGTTTAGATGATGAGGAAGAAGACATAACTGACCAAGAAGCCAGAGACCGTGACACCCAAAAGAAGCAAGCAAACAAGGACTATGTTAAGAAAAGGTTCCATGCAAGAGAGCGAGACGTGCTAGAGGGAGACTGGGTTCTGTTGGAGCAGAAGAGACGAAACAAGTTATCGTCATCGTATGAGAAGAAGCCCTATGAGGTGATGGCTCGGTACGGGCATCAAGTTGTGCTGAGGTCGTCGAACGGAGAGGAGTACAGGAGAAATATGCACCATATTAAAACCTTTAACATTCCAGACCATGAAAGGGCGGCGTCACAGTCAGAGCTCGGATCTGCGTCTGCAACAGCTGCGTCTGCATCAGCTACACAGGCTATGGCACCAACGCCGGGGACACCTATTACAACAACAGCACCAGCAGAGATTCCAAGGATGTCTTTACCACCAGCATAAGTGGAAATACCCCCTAAGGTCCCAGTCTCGGGTGTTGAGCAGCCACACCCTCTAAGGAGATCTGGAAGGGTTACCGGACGACAAAAAACTTGAAGCGATTATGTTTTGTATTAAATCTACTTTTTTCGAAAGATTCAGTGTTTCCATTGAAATCAGCTATATTTATATTGCCATTTGGCAAGGACTTGGTTGATTGTATTTTTGTATTCTAAGATTGTTTAAGTTGAAAGTAAGTATATTGTTTGCGTAATTTTTATGATGTATAATCACACCAAACACTTACGGGCGTGCGCTCTTCGTTGGTTGTTATTGCCTCTTCTATTGTGTGAAGAGTGATTTTAGCCTTCTGCTTATTTTCATCTTCCCTCGGAAATAGTGTCTGCTGACTTTCTTTTATGTTGTTGCTTGATATAAGCGTATCTTTCAATGTCTCTTCTCTGTACTTGGCATCCGTTTCGTCTCCTTGTTTATCTAGAATATCTTTATGTCTTCCATCTGCTTTTTTCATGACGGTATCGGAATTTTTATCTGAAGATTGTAGTGTCTGTTGATCACAAAATGTAAGATTTTAAATGTAGGAACTGGGCATCCTCGGAGACCCAGGGACAGTCAGTCGGGTAGGGAGAAAAGGCGGGACGAAAGTTTTCAAGTACGGGCGAAAGAGCCCCTGGGTACCGACTCTCATCGAACTATTTCCAAAAATTCCAGCCGATGCCTGCTCCTGATTGGGCACAAAAAATGCTTTGTATTATTGTGCCCAATCGGCGAACAGCTTCTCCTGGGTTCTTTTCATGATTTTGTACACGACGCCTATTGTCTTGCCACACTTGCCCTGTTCGTTCACCAAGCTTGTGCGTGCCAGGGAAACTTTTATTTTCTACTTCTCTAACCAGAAACGAAAGAACTACCGATGAGTCGAAAAAACGTTTGGGATGCTATCAGCAGGAGCAAATCAATTTGCCCCGAGAATATTCTGTTTTTGACTCATCAAAATATATCGTAAATAATAGGAAGTTTAAGATGCGGCGGCGACGAGAAAGTCAAATAAGCAATAACTTGACAAGGCAAAAACAATGCACGTGCATCACACTTTTTTGTACATTTATTTGCTGTCAACTGCACGACTACCCTTGAAAATGCCTAATCAGTCACGTTTTGAGAAAGACGTAAACACGCAATGACAAAATTCATTCTCTTCATGAACTTGAATATGGTTGATAGAAATCAGCTCCAGAAGAGTTCGCTCGCATTTGACAAAGTAAGCGAGTTGGAATAACCACGATAGAAACAGAAAAAATGTGAATTCCCTTTTCCATGCGACGATTTCGTGGTTGTTGGTCGTCGTGGTATCTTTTAAAAACTCCTTAATATTTACGCAAAGACGTGACAGATGGAAGCGTGAATACCTGTTGTAAGCTCAAGCTTGTATTTGTGGAAAAGCGTCTTTAGTTTTCGGGCAGACAGTATTTTGAAATCAGATGAGGATTTTAAAAGTTTCCTGACTGCATGCATTTCTTTGGTGCATGAGCCAGACAAGCCGTGATCGAGACAACAGCCTTCGTGTACGAACTCACGAAAAGAACTCAGAAGAAATTGTTTGCCGATTGGGCACAATAATACAAAGCATTTTTTGTGCCCAATCAGGAGCCGGCATCCGCCTGAATTTTTGGAAATAGCTCGGTGAGAGTCGGTACCCAGGAGCTCTTTCACCCGTACTTGAAAACATTCGTCCCGCCCTTACTCCTAACCCGGCTGACTGTCCCTGGGTCTCCGAGGATGGGAACTGGGCGGCTTAGTTGACACAGTGTATGCTATATTGTTACGCTTCTTTCAAACATTTCAGTTAAACTAAGGTCCCAAACATTGATAAAAACCTGCTTTGTATTTAAGCTCGAGCAGATGCCCATGTTTCTGTGAATTCTTTTCACAACGCTGAATTAAATATCGAGGGGATCGAACTTGGTTAACGACGTTAACAAAGACGTTGACTTGATCCTTTAGGCCTTAGTATGTTACTCTGGGTAGTCTAATGTATTATTAGTTTTATTTTTTCTTAAGGGCGTTAATAAAGGGCGAATCTGGTATATATAGAAACTGAGAAGAAAGTGAGGTATTTCTTCGTAATTAGTAGTTGAACTAACTTGTCCTCCTGAATTTGTGGTGATTCTCCTGGTCTGAGTCAACGTGTATCTGCTACTCTGTTCTCCTGAGATCTGTAAAGGCGGTTTTAACTTAAGAAAGTCCTCTTTAGGGTCCTGGAGGAAAATTTAGAATACGCCCTTCAGAGACAGAGGAAATATCGCAGGCGCATGTTTCTAGGATGCGCACATGGTTCAACTTACTTCTTAACGTTTAACCCTATCGTTTTCGAACTTCTTAACAGGGAAAGTAGAAAACGCTTCAAAACGGTAGTGTGGACGCAAATCAATCGACTCGTTGTCGATGACAACAAAAACGCATACTTTTGAAAACGCATTATTGTGGACAGGGCCTTCGATTAGAAAAACAACAGCTTTGCGAGTACATCACGGTTTTTTGTACATTGCAACAACAACGACGTGACTAAGTGCCTAATTTCACGGGTTTTGTGAAGGACGTGAAAAAGACAACTACTTTTTTTTAGAGAAAGTAGCTGAAGCAACGACGACGACGAAAACGCAAAAAAACGGCAACGAAAACGGAAAAAAGAGCAATACTAATAAGCTTAGATTAGTAAAAAAAAACTTTGCACGTGCATCACGCTTTTTTGTACATTTCTTTGCTGTCAGTACAACACTGCTACGTCAAAATACGGCCTAAGTTTACGCTTTGTGGAGAACGTCAACATAAGAAAACGACTTTCTTTTTCTTTTCCTGAACTTCGATACAGTCTTTAAGAATTACACCTTAGAACAAATTTACCAACATTTGACGAATTGAAAGAGTTCGGTTGGAATAAGTACGATAAAGTTTGAAGCAAATCGAATTCTCTTTTTATAATGTGGCTTTTTCGTAACCACCGCCGTCTTTGTTGCTTAAGCTCACTATTGCTAAGTTGGGACGTCTAATCCAAGATCAGTCAAAAGTAAAGGGAAGTAATAAGATGACTAAACCGCCAAAAAAGTCTAGTATACAGGGTGCAAAGAAAGTTGTTTTTAACGGCTTGCGATTTTGGCAAGCTAAGGCTAGATAGTCTAGCGCTAACGTCATTTCAACTAGCTTAAAAAAACTTTTCATGAGGAGATTTGATTTCACAGTTCTTCTGTAATTTGAATTCCTCAAAAAAGTTCACTTGCCGGTCGGGCAAGTTAAGAACAAAACTCACTAGCCCGATAACAAAATCCACTGCCTCGGACACTACTTTCTTTGATCCTGTTATATACTAAGAGGATAACGCATTATCATAACCACACCAAACACTTACGAGCGTGCCCTCTTTGCTAGTTGTCATTGCCTCTTCTATTGTGTGAACGTTGATTTTAGCCTGCTGCTCATTTTTATCTTCCCTCGGAAATAGTGTATTCTGACTTTCTATTATGGTGTTACTTGATGTAAGTGTATCTTTCAAAGGCCCCTTTCTGTCTTTGGCATCCGTTTCAACTCCTTGTTTATCTAGAATGTCGTTATCTCTACCATCTGTTGTTTTCATGACGGTTTGGGAATTTTCAGCTGAAGATTGTAGGATCTGTTGAGTAAAAAAAATTAAAAAGTAGGTTGAGTTTGATCGTCCGGGTAAACGTAGTCCTGAATAGGACTGTTGTTGTTGACAGTGACTGACGTCTCGACAACCTGTGCGGTAGTCATCTTCAGAGTAAATGTGAGTTGTATCACGTCAGTTGATGGTATTATACTCTGGTTATAGATCTGATTGGTCAATTACGTCGCGATGTCGGTTTGGGAATCTTCAGCTGAAGATTGTAGGGTCTATTGATAAGAATATGTAAGTTATTAAATGTATGAGGCTAAATTGACACAGTAAATGCTGTATTATTAAGTTTCCCTCAAACATCTCAGTTCAACTAAGGAATCAAAACATTCTGGAAAGAAACCCCTGCTTTTTATTCCAGTCAAAAGCAGAGGCACATGTTTCTGTGAATTCTTTTCACAATGCTAAATTAAATGTCAAAGGGATCGAACATGGTTAACGAAGTTAACAAAGAAATGTAGTTAGCCTGTTCTACGTCTAACTTGATTATTTAGCCCATAGTGTGTTACCCTAAATAGTTTAGTAAGTTATTCTGAAAAGTTGTGTCTTTCAATGCAATTTAACATTTTATACTTGTTCAGTGCCACCCTGTGACTCTAATATTCGATTTGTGTGCTTCCGCGCCAAAGGTGCGCGTCCCGCGCGAGTACATTTTCCCGACACATATTTTTTTGTATTGTGTAGCCCGATTTTCTCAAACTCCTTCCTTTTTTTGTTTGAAAATATCATGACAGAAAAAAAAACCCTAGACGCCAAAACGTTCAGCTGCGTGACAGCATAAGCATATTTACTTCGATTTACCGGCTTATCAGTAAAAATAACTGATAAAAAAATGGAAAAATCCGAATTTTTCGGTGGTGAAATAGTCACCGAGAAATGAATGTTTTGAAGACAAAAAAAAAAAAAAAAAAAAGGTGAGAATGATAGACCTGAATAAAGAGGATAAAAAAGTAATAAAAAAGGATACAAACATAAGAAACAAAACAAAAAAAAAGCTATCAAAATAAATAGCAAAAAAACAATAAAAGTGCTGTATGG